GGTTCAGGAACGGCAGCAGATCTTCAGCGTACAAGCAACAGAACTGAACAAACAGCTCCTTCTCTCTGCTGCTGAAGGCTGACTCCTCCGCCCGGTGAAACACCAGAATCTGACGGGTCACCTGACAGGAAACCAGACCACAACACTCAAAACACCACAACAGACCTGACAGGGAAGACCACGACACTGAAGACAGACTGAATCCAGATGTCCAGACTGCACCACACTGCACGTGTTGTTTCAACAGTGTGTTTTTCATATTTTTATTCCAGTTATTCATGCTGTTAATCACTTACTTGTCCTTTCATTTAACTGACTGCACTCACCAACCTCACAGTTTCATCAGTAAAGCACATTGATCAGTGCCCGTTTATAAATTTTCTCTATAAACAAACTGACTTAATGGGTAAAGGAAGCCCACATGAGGCATGTCCAAATCTACCAATCATCAAGTCTACCTGACATGGACTTTCTGCAGACTTCACCCGAGTTGTACTGAAGGACCAACCATAGCTTGTACATAGCAGTGTGGACATGATCGTAAGCAGAATCAAAGCAGAACAACCTACAGTCTGCTCATGTAGTGAGGTTTGCCTTCATATGGCTCGTGTCTGTACTGTCAGGAATGTTCAGACAAAATCTTATAAACTTTTGATTCATCAGCCTGGAAGAGGCTGAGGTTGTACATCCCTTCTCGTAAGTTTTAATATCTCCTGTGGACCAGCGCCCCACAGACTTAACATAATGATGGTGGACACACTGTAGACATTTGGATTCAGCCACAGATCCAGACCTGCCTGCTCCCCTAACAGAAGCAACGTTTACTGCTCTGCTCACCTTCTTCAGAGCCTCTTCGAGGCGTCTGGTGACGTCCTGGGCCAGTCCGACGGGGCAGCAGAGCCGCAGATCGTTGAAAGCGGTCAGAATGTTGTTGAGGAAGCAGGCCAGTGGCTGGAAGTCCAGCAGGGACATAGGGGGCTGCAGTGTGCCGGGCTGGGTGCTGGGGGCCACAGGGGGGATGGTCCCGCCCAGTACCGAGGGCAGGGCAATCAGCATATACAGGTTCATGTCCTCCTGGAACTTGTCCACCGCCTCCTGCACGGCTCTGCTGAACATCTCCACCGCCACCCGCTGGAACACAGGTGCCATCAGGCCGCGGAAGTCCGCCCCCACCCTGCTGAAGGACAGGCCAAAGTACATGCACTGGCCCAGCAGGGAGTCCAGGCGGCCCCCCACACCTCTCTGTAGGTCCCTCTCTAAAGTCTCCAGGAACTCTGCTACCTTGTGCACCACCCAGCCGTGGAAGATAGCGCCCTCGTTCACCGTCAACTGCCCTCCAGTGGGGGGCATCAGCGGGTCCTCGTCGGAGAAGATGGCTCTGTACTGGGTGATGATGTCGAACAGGTGGACTCTGCAGGCCTCGATGGTTTTGGTGATGTGGAAGTAAGGGTCATCGTCGGGGATGACAGCAAGGATGGAGCGCAGCCAGGTGCTGCGGGCCTGCAGGAACTTCACCCGCAGCTCCGCCTCCGTGAACACATCCATCCATCGCAGGTAACCAATGACACGCAACGGGAAGCTGCGAGTTGCTGCGCAGCTGCTGCAGCAGCTGGTTGAGCATCAGCTGACTCGCCTGGCGCACTTCATGCACTATACCCTGAAGATACAATATGTCAAATATTATTAGAGCTGAAACCATGAATTTAATTTCAGTCAATTTCCAAAAGAACTAATAATAAAAAAAATAAATAAAAACAGCAGCTTCTCTTTTTTATCACAGTAAACTGAACTTCTTGGGGATTTGGACAAAAGACATCTGAAGATGCCACCTTGAGCACAGAGAAGTTGACATTCCATAGACTAAACTATTAATCTCCATATTGATCAATAATAAAAATGAGTTTTTAGTAGTTTTTTGACTTTGAGAGCAGGCACCTTTAAAGAGCAACTTCTCTCACTCTGAGAACCTGGCTCAACCTGACAACATGCCTTTTTCTCATATGTGCAGCAGGGCTGTAGCATTGTAATATACACTCACTGGCCTCACCTGGATAACGGGGAGTGACGAGTGCTTCTTCTCTAGCCTCTTGACATACGCTGCCAGCTCTAGAGCCTCCTCGTAGTAGCCGTTCCGGACGCAGGTGTCCATGAGCTGAGGGATCTCCAGAATCTCCAGGATCTCAGTGTGGCGGTTCAGGGTGAGGCTGTTCATCTGGCGACTGGCTCCGTTCTCCTCAGCCTCCTTCATGAACCTCCTGAACAGAGACAAACACGGCAGTGGTGTTCACTTTATGGTTGTGGAGAAGGTTTGGTTTAGAACTGATAACTGATCAACAAAAAATGTGCAACTATTTTAATGATAAATTCATCTTGTGAATCATTTTTGAAGCGAAAGTCCCAAATATTTGATGTAATATATTTGATTTGATATAAAGATTTGCAGTTTTGTGCAAATAAAATGATGCTAATTGAATATTTTGAGGGTTTACATCGTTGGTATGATAAAAGAATATTTTCAGAAATGTGACTTTATCAAATCAAATGTATTTAGATAGCACTTTAAAAGCAACTTCCAGTTGACCAAAGTACTTTACATGGCAGAATAAAATCACAATAAATAAAGTCAGTGCAAAAAATAAAGCAGCACAATAACGGACACACAGATACATTCATTAAATTAAAATTAAGAGGAATGCATCAGGCCCAACTGTGTATTAAAAGCCAAGGCAAATAAATATGTTTAAAGCAATGATTTAAAAGCAGTCAGGTCAGTAGCTGATCTAACAAGTAGACTATTCCACAATTTAGGGGCTGCAACAGTAAAAGCAGGTCACCCCAACGTTTACTTTCTGGCCCTAGGAACCTCTAAAAGAAATTGGTTTGAAGACTAATAGGCACTGTCCCTGCCAAATGAATTAATAAACATTTCATTCCCAATTTTCTCATTTTTATAAACCATATAATCAATTAATCGAGAAAATAATCTGCAGCTTAATTAGTTGCAGTCCTATTTTGATGAAGTACTTTCTGACTGTACTTGAACACTTTCTCTTTGGAATGCAGTTTTATATTTTTTACAGTGTGGTATTTCTTTCACCACTACTTCAGTGTTGAATCTTTAGCACTTAAAGCACCGACCTGCACTTCTCTCCGAAGCCAGGCAGCTTGTCTAGGAGCCGGGACACGCTGCTCTCCACCTGGCCGAAGTCCCGGTAGATGTGCTCGGTGCACTCGGCCGTGCGGATGAAGGTCTGGTAGTTGGAGAAGGCCAGTTCCCGGGTCTGCTGCAGGATCTGAGCCCGCTCCTCCGCCAGCCGCTCGGGCTCTCGGCTCAACTTCTCCACCCCGAAGGAGCTGAGCTCGGACAGGTAGGCGGTGAAGTCTGGGTTGTCCCTCCAGCTGTCCGGGAAGCTGTCCTTAAAGATCGACGCCAGGATACTCTCGTCCTCCACGTCTACCGCCGCCATGTTGGACAGGTGCGAAGCAAATACCACTGCTATTTGTCCGGGGACTCCCTAATTCAACACTGTTTATTATCGTGAAACCCCACAGATAAGCTATATTTTAAAATTTAATTAAGTTGTGTCAACCCAAACCGGACAGTCACTGTTGACAACCTCTTCCCTCTTTTCCAGGGTCTTCTTTAGGTTTTTAACTACGGCTACCGAACAACACTACGGCGCATTAGCGCCGCCATCTGGGCTGGAGTGTCGGTCAGTCTGGCTTGGGTCTGTATTACAGACTTCAGTAGTACATCCCTGATCCTGTTATTGTTATAACGTATATTGTTATCCGGTTTTTTAAGAACTTCAACATACTTTCAGCTAGTGAAACCAAACTGTAGAGGGTGGCTCCAGAACAGAGACTATATATGAGCTATGGAGAATGCGCTACGCTGCCTTGTTTAACTGCGCTCAAAGTGGTCCTCATGAAACGGGTATTAAGTACGGATGAGCCGATTATCTCCGCCCCTGAGGTATCTCATTTTATCGGGGAGCTGCCTGTGTGTAAGGCCAGTGGATCTGACTTGACCTTTACCCACCATTTTTTTTACTGGCCTTTTGGTGCACGGTTTACTTCCTGTGGGAAATGATGCTGAAGTGTAGAATCCCTACAACGTGACCAGTCTGAACCAGAAGTGAGCTGGTGGATCCAACTGCCCCTCTGCACTTTCATGCCTGGCAGTAGAACTTCAGCCTGCCTCGTTGAAGTTTTTTCTTCTTTGACACATATGCATGCTCCTCTGTGCTCCATCTCGCTTTCTCATGCTCTGTTTTGACTATACTTTAAATTTTGGCAATATATCATTTGCCCCTTGGCTGTTTCCATAGTGAGTTTTGATTCAGCTTTGCTCTCCCAATTCGGCTGTACTATTTAAGCAATTTCAGCATTATTTGGCAATTTTTCAAACGTTAGCATTGACAGTGCATTTCCTACCACTTTTCTGCAGGATTTAGTATACCTTCCACAGCTCCCTTCATAGCAGGAAGTTTGTTTCAGCACATTCTTCTATCTACCAATTAATTTCATGTTCCAAAGTCTTAAGCGGGGAAGTTCATCTGTCAGATGTTAGTTCATATAACTCATTCTTTTCAACTTTTAAGCCATTTTATTTCTACTGCTGGCTTTGGCAGTCACCTCCACCATTTTAGTGATGCTTTTCAGCCCTCTGCTTCTTTAAATAATGAACTTAAATTCTGACTTGTGGGAGTATTTAGCATCACATATCAGCCTTTAGCTCTTTCAGCAATATATTTCACCTGTCTTCAGTAGTCCTAGGATAAATTTTTCACCAGTCAGCATTCACACACATTTTCTGCAGAAAATGCCCTTTTCTGGTTAAAACTATATAGCTTGATGATGATTGCCAATGATTTGACAGTTTTGTTAATGACAAAGTCACTATGTTTTTTCGTGTTTAATTTCTTGCGAAGCCAAATTCCTAAACAAAACAAAAACTGCAAGAAAAGTGGGACATCTCCACTCCTTTTACTAACACCTTGACATGATTCCTAGTACTACCCTTTTCTACAAATATGAAATTTAAGAAACGCTTACTAGTGTACTTTGTGTGCGTTCTAATTCTGTGTTTTTAAACTTATACATTAAAGGCGGAAGACTAAATAATAAATAAGTAAATAAAAACAAATAAACGATGCTGTTACAATTTTTTTGAAAAGTAAATTTTGACGTCAGCGGAAGTGAGGGCTCAGTTGTTCAGTTGCTAAGCTGTATCCGAGCAGCGACCGGAGTGACAACAAGTTGTCTTCGACTGCGGACGCCATAAAGTACCAATTCTGCGGTCATTTAGATGAGTGACGGTAACTGCGGTGGACAAGGTTAGCTGCCTGTTTTTAACTGGTCAAAACCGGCGAGATTAGCTCAAACCGAACCCGCTAACTAACCGGTCATGAGTTTGCTAACGTTAGCTGGTGCTCGTTAATTAGTCACCCAAGACAAATTACTTCAGCCATAACTAACAAGCGTTGACGTTAGTTAAACACTATAAACATACATTCTCGGCTACATTTTAGTCTGATCTTTTTGGTTGAATCGTTAGCTAATCGACTGTGCAGTCTGACGCTTGGTTAATTAGTTGGTTGAATCTTCTTAATTGGCTTTCTAACCATTAAGTTAGCATGATCCTAGCATTAAGGCAGACAGCTAAGGTTAATCTAAGTTGACTGACTTAGATTAACTATAACGGGGAATTGCCGTTTCTTTAACCGAAACTTGTGTGTTAAGTTACCTGTGTATCCTTTGGGCAGAGTTTCTTTAACCGAAACTTGTGTGTTAAGTTACTTGTGTATCCTCTGGGCAGAAGTGTAACTAAATAAAGATGGATTGCCAGCCGGGCGGCGTGGGGACATTCTATGGGCCTTAATGGCCTCAGGTTTATTACAGTCTATCTACTTACATTGATTAATCACAAATTTGCATCCCTGAAATAACATTAAGAGGTCCTCCACCCATCACCATGTGGTTTTAGTTTATAGCTTTAAGGCCTTAGTTTAAATTAAGCTCAATGGATGATTTACTGCAGGACTAGTGTACTTAGTAAACTGGACACTGTATATTCAGTATTAGTCACAAATCTGACAGGTCACATATTTCAGTTCACCAGCTATCATTATGTGTGAGCTGCTTGTGCTTCCACCTGAAGTTAAAGGCCCTGTACCACGAAGCGAGATCAGTGGCTTATCCAGCTGACTCTGGGCTCAGCTCAGGTTTTCCGGTACCATGAAGCTGGCTCTCTTTTAATCAGGCTAGATCACCACGGTAACTGATGCTACACCGACCAATCAGATCACTGGAAACGCTGAGGATTGTTCCTACAGGATCCTGGCGGGGTCAGAGTCTACATTAATGTGATGAGGTTTAAATAGATATTTCTACAGGGTACTCATATCGTTGTGCTGTTTCAGGCTTTCTGGATTTCTAACAAACTGAGGGAGTCTGCAGCCTTCATGATGATCAGCACTGTATTTTAAATGCACAAAGATCATTTGATTACGGACTGAATTTCTGTTTTCTTCATCATCAGACAAAGGAGAAAACAATACTCACTGAATAAGACCCTTAAAATAATGCTGCACTAATGCACGGTGTATTCCTCGTCATTCATTAATATTTGAAAATTAATTCTCGAGTTTCTATAGCTTCTTATTCTGCTCTAGTTTTGTGACTGTTCACAGTTCACCTGCCGTAACGTCACTTCCTGCTCTGGCTATAAACGAGTTTCCCTGAGGCATCACTGCTCCGTCTCATATTATTCTCAGTGGCCGACTTCACTCACGTTGTTGCTGTCCCTTCTAATTAACAAGTTCGATAGGATAGGAAAACCCAGATTTAACAGAGCCAGTTGACGACTGGCTCCAGGGTACCAGTTATCCAGGACAGCCAGTGTTACGTTCAGTGAAGCTAGATCACCCCAAGAGAGCCAGAATAAGTTGAACTGGCTTCATGGTGCGGGCCCCTGGTCTGGTTCAGTAAGTAAATTGGTTGTTGTAAATGACAGAAGTTCTGACATTGTGCTGCAATGCCATGATAGCTTAATTAGAGACATTAGAGACAAGTATGTAGAGCTGATGCAACTTTTTGGAAATCAGTCAAAATACTGTTTAACAGGAGAGTTGTATGAAGCACTTGCCCATGTGTTTCCAAAACTCGAGTACCACCTGTCTATCTTATTGGCTCCATCATTAGACCTTGGCTTAAAACATTTTACTATGCTAAGGCATTTGACTCAGGTTGACTGTTGTATTTATTATTTATTGATTTTGATTTTCTAATTTTGGTTTCTAATACTGACTCTGATACAATTTTGGACAGCTGCCTTTTTAAATTTAGCTTTTATCCTCACATTTAATATTGACTGAATAGTCCCTTTTTTTACATGTAGATATATTGGTATTCTTCTAAGTAGGCCTATAGTTCTAGTGTGTGCTTTATTTTTTGTATGTTCTGTGTTCTTTTGTAACTTACTTTGGTCGACTGTTATTTTTAAATGAACTATATACATTGACATTTAAACTGTTAGTAGGTTTATCTGTGTGATACCTGTGTTTGTGTCGCAGGAGGTGCAGTGGACTGAGAAGCTGATGTCTGCCCTCAGTGCTCATTAACCTAAGCAGTGGTGCAGGAGTTCAAACGAAGCAGCCAGTCTCCAGTGTGAGCAGCATGGCTGCCGCCAGCACCACCAAGATCTCATGGCGACTGCGTGAGTACAAAAGACAAACATTAATACTCACCTGATATAAAGGAAACAGGATATTCTCCTTTTTAATGCAGTCTTGGACTCACTCCAATCTAAAAGTTCCAAGTCTCCTAATAGGGTTTGTAATGTGTCAGTATATCCTGTACATTGATGTACTTTAAATGTGTTGATGTACTTCAAATGTGTTAATGTGGTTTGTATTGAGATGGCTCCGCATGCTGTAGTGTCACCAGCAGCTCCAGCATCTTCTCGGGCAGGTCAGAACTAAATTTGTCCCTGCTCTGTTGTTGTCCAGAGGCATTCGAGGCTCACTCCAGCAGCGTTTGCTGTTTGGCTGTGGGGAAAAGCTCTGGGCGGCTGCTGGCCACAGGAGGAGAGGACTGCAGGGTGAACATCTGGGCTGTCAGCAAGCCCAACTGCATCATGGTGAGAGCCCCTCACTGCAGCAGCACGAGCTGCTGCTTCACCTGTACACTGCTGGCCTCGACCTGAACTACAGTGCACACTGCACTACAGGCACTGCACTACAAGCACACCTTTCTGCCGAAGCAACAGTTTTACAAGCCTGTCATCTGGATGTGTGATCAGAATCAGAATCAATCTGCTTTATTGGCCAGGTGTGTCAGACACACGAGGAATTTGACTCTGGTACATCGGCTCTCAATGTGTATGTACATATCCCCATGCAAGGGGCAAGTAAACAGTAAACCAGCATAAGGCTGTGTAATATAACAAAATAAGCAGTATTAACAAGCAACAAACAGTCCAAATAATGCAAAATAAGCTGTATAAACAGGCAGTAAACAATGCAGACAAACAAAGGATAATAGGGATAAATAGGGATAAAACGTACTTAAAACTAGAGACCTCTATGACTCTGTATAATCTGTTCAATGTACAAACCCGATTCCAAAAAAGTGGCTGCTCAAAGTCATTTACCCTTAATAAACATTAACATCAGAGCAATGGCAAAAATGGCAAAAGTGTTCATCAGAGCAACAGCCTGGGGAAGAAACGGTCCCTGTGCCTGGTTGTCTTGGCGTACAGTAACCTGTAACGCCGCCCAGAGGGGAGGAGTTGGAACAGATTATGTCCTGGGTGTGAGGGGTCTGCAGTGATCCTCTCCGCCCTCCTTTTAATGGATATGATTTGATACGAGTCTTGTGGGATTTGTCACAGCAAGTGCTAACTTTGTGTGTGTGTGTGTGGTCTCCCAGAGTCTAACTGGTCACAAGAACCCTGTGGAGTCCGTCCAGTTCAACATGTCAGAGGAGCAGGTCGTCGCTGGTTCACAGAGTGGATCAATAAGAGTCTGGGACCTGGAGGCTGCTAAGAGTGAGACCCTGTTTGTTCTTCATGTGTGTGTGTGTGTTGGTGGCTAAACGCCTTCTTTTTCTTCTTTTATTTTTATACTTTTCCCCCCTTTGCACTGATTTTATGAGAAATGTCACAAAGTGGCACAGACCAGCAGCCAACACAGACGCTATGCATTATGGCTCATGGAGAGCAGGTCTTTGTGCAGCTATACATATTTATCCATGTGTGGCGACACAAACAGCAAAAGGATGGAAAATTTGATTTTAAGTAGTGATGTGAGAGAGGCAATCCATCAGCCATGGTGAACAGAGGCTAATCGGATGTGAAGATATGACTTCAGTTCTCTGTTCTCCTGCCTTGAACGGGCAGTGTCAATGTTTCCTCTGGCTCATTTTGACACGTCTCCCCAATGATGACACGTCTCCCCAATGCAGGACTTTATGGTCGAACCATGCGAGAGTCCTGTGGGACAGATAATGATGAAAAATGCAGGACTTTATGGTTGAACCATGCGAGAGTCCTGTGGGACAGATGCATGAGCTGCATGGAAGCACAGCTAACAGAAATGGACCCCAGCCTGCTCACTGACATAGCTCCACTATGGCAGGAGTACAGATTACCCACACACCTTAGAGACAGATACATACATCTGTTCAGCATGTGTGCCCCCCTCCGGTGGAATCTGTCCGATGCCTCACACGTGGCTACTTTGATTTGGACACCATTTATCCTGCCTATCAGGCTGACTCGGCTGCTTCCCGTCTCCCCCAGGTTTAAGGACTCTGATGGGACACAAAGCCAGCATCACCAGTCTGGGCTTCCACCCATATGGAAACTTCCTCGCCTCTGGCTCCATGGACACGACCATCAAGGTAGCTGTGACTATGTTTGCGTGTGTAATCCCGGTTTATTTGTAGTTAACAGTCTGCTTTAAGGGATTTGTTCTCATTTTCTTGTAACATGCTCACCTGGTTCACTGGTCAGCTGTGGGATGTGCGAAGGAAAGGCTATGTGTACAGGTACAAGGTCAGATCTGTGTGTGTGTGTAGATGATGTTGAAATACTTGGTCAGTAAAGGTGATTAAACTGAAATGTCCTGATGAGCACGTGCTTCTTTAAATTACACTTAAAAATTTGGTCACTTTGTTAGATTTGTCTGCAGAACCTGCTCATGATCATTTTTCATTTATGGTGTCACGTCTGAAAGAAGTCATAGTTTCCAAATATGATTTAGGAGTGGTGCATGTGAGAACAACATGTGTTCAGTGTGGGGAGTGTCCCCCATGTCACTGCTAGGATAAAGCTGATGTTTGTTCTACAGGGTCACAGTCAAGCAGTGAGGAGCCTGGCCTTCAGTCCAGATGGGAAGTGGTTAGCTTCAGCCAGCGACGACGGCACCGTCAAGGTACGAACTCCTCTCATCCACGAGACACCAGCAATCATGTGCTGCTCCTGGGGTGGGCATCAAACCTCAATGCTGAAATGCATCTGCAGTTCTGAGGCTGGTTGAGAACCATGTTTACTTATTCTCATATCATCCATATTTCAGATTTTATTTAAACAGATTCTTCACATGCAGACTCAAACATTTTAATCTTCTAGTTCTGAACTTCTCTGTCTTTTCCCTGTGAGGTTTGTTACACAAACATCCGTATGCCAAGAACACATCCTGTGGCTCTTTGCTGAGCAGAGTCAAAAAAACCTATGCTTCTTAAATTCCCACATCTCTGTAGCACAGTTCAGTATCAGAGAAACACAAATCTCATACCACAACACAGCCTGTCTGTGTCCTGGCTGATGTTCACAGCACGACTGCGCTGTAAGGTCAGTCAGTCTGAAACTCGGATGCAGATTTCTCATTGTTTCTCGTCTCTGCCAGCTGTGGGACCTGACTCAGGGGAAGACTATCACAGAGTTCACATCGCACACCGCAGCAGTCAACATCGTGCAGTTCCACCCCAACGAGTACCTGCTAGCGTCAGGCAGCTCCGACAGGTATGACAGCACCTCGGCTGCTTCACACTCCAGACCACACAGTCAGCATCGGGGACAGTATTTGAGTCGGTTAAAAAATGAATTAATGTTCCACTGATGGAAGACTGACTCCTCACCATTGTCATTCTGTGTCTCTGCTTGACAGGCTTCCTCTCTCTATTTGATCTTGTTTTCTCTCTCTGGTCTGTTTGATGTCAGCTTCATTGCAGCAGACGGACATTGTGAATCATGTCGAATTCTCTCCTCGTTGATGCCATTTTATCATGACTCTCCAAACGTTTGGATTAAGGATGGGGTTCAATTGTCAGATCTGAATCCAGTTCTTTATCAGCTTACTGAACCCAGATTGAGTAGTAAAGTAGTTTAATTTTAGAACAAACAGCTGTTTTACGTCCTTGATATTGAAGAGTCCACCTTTTTATGATCATTTTGAAAGCAGCAGTGAACACCCTGACGCTGAAGTAGCAGACAAACCATGGACACTGAACTGAGCTGAAGACTCATTGACCCTGTCCTCCCTCGCTCTGCTCCTCACTGGGGGCTGAGCTGCAGCTGCATGTCACAGTAGGATTCACTCTGCTGTGTCACTCAGTCAGTATCAGCTCAGTAAACCTCAGCTGGTCTGCTGCACGATGCCCTGAGCATCAGCTGCAGCTGAACTGTTTGTTGCTCTGCTGTAGGTCCCAGAGTCTGGCGCTCACAGAGTGCGATGTAACAGTGGTGGCAGGCTGAGTAGACTGAGGCCAAGCGCTCGTCTTTCTCACATTATCAACAGGAACGCCAGGGCTGACTGTAGCATGTTGGATGCTGCAGGACTTGTTGCTCCTCCACAAATGTCACATGTTGTAGTTGTTCATGACGGTAGAACATTTTAAGCGGGTCATTCATGTTTGTTGTTTACAATAGTGTGTATGAATTATCATGTTTGTTTTCATCATCAGTCTGCTTAAGTTTGCTGATGTCTGCAGTGCCAAAGAGACTAAACAGAGGATGTGAGTCAAAGATGTTGGGGATTTGTTTGGCTGCACAGCTTATTGACTCTGGGCGTTTTCACCAACATGGAACTGAATCCCTAGTTTAGCTGTTCGGCCAACTAGAGCTGGTTTCCCCTCTGGGTTTTAAGCACTATTATTTTGACCTTTAGTTTTTCTGTGTCCATGACCCCTGCTGGGTGTTGACAGTGTTTCTATGTTTACCTCTGTTTTGTCTGCAGGACCATCAGGCTGTGGGATCTGGAGAAATTCACCATGATCAGCTCCTTGGAGGGAGACACAACTCCAGTCAGGTGAGTTTTCTCTCAGCAGTGCAGCAGGTTGTCGGCATGCTGCCACAGTATGATCTTTAATCTCTGACCCTCTGGTTTCAGGTGTATATTTTTCAGCCCGGATGGCAGCTGTCTGTACAGTGGGGCCACAGATTGTCTGCGGGTCTTTGGCTGGGAGCCTGACCGCTGCTTCGACGTGGTGCCGGTGGGCTGGGGGAAAGTGTCGGACCTGGCACTCTGCAACCAGCAGCTGGTGCGTAGCTCCAACAGCTGGGCACTGTATAAACACAAGTCTGCTTTGCCTGAAGGCACAAACATAGGATCAGTAAAATGACAGCTCTCAAGACTCAAACCCAACTGTGACGACTTTCTCATTCTGTGGCAGCAACGTTTACAGTGCAACTTTAAATGCAGAAACCGAAGCAACAGCAGCATCTTCACAGACGGATGTCGTATCTGTTCTCATCCTCAGATCGGAGTGTCTCACCACCTCTCCAGTGTGTCGTCCCACGTGGTCGATCTGAAGAGGGTGAAGAAGAGCGGCGGCTCTGTGATCCAGGGAATCATCCAGGACAATGAGCCTCTCAAAGAGGTGAAGGAACCCAAAGGAGCCGCGCTGCGAAGGAGCTATGAGAGACCCACGACCACCTGCGGCTCACAGAGGTACGACATATCCAGTGCACAGCGACTCAGAGCTCCGCTTCGGAGTAACTGACGTAGATGATACAGCTAACGCTCTCATGTTGGGATGTCACTTGGTTGTAGATGTTACGGCTAACACGCTCTCATGTTGGGATGTCACTTGGTCACATCACTGGCTATAAACCTGTAGGTGCCACAGTGGTTTGAATAAGCAGAGTCTCTGCAGCCGCCAT